AGGGGATATTTGTAGGCATATAAAATTTATTGGGATTAAATTCATAAAATAATTTGGACTATATTTTAAATTTAAGATATATTAGTTCAAATAAATTTATTGGGCTAATATAATTAGATTATTATATAAGTTCAAATGCATATGAGTTAAATAAATGAGTCCAAATCCATTGGGCTAGCCCATTTAATTGGGCTAAAGTAATGAGCCCACTTCATTAAGCCCAATATGTCATCTTCCTAGAGGCCCAGTTTGGCGCCATGTGTCAAATGACATGGCGCGCCAAGTCAAACGGAAGAGCCAATGGGATCATGCCACGTGTCAAAATGACAAGGCATGCCAAGTCACGCTAAAAGGCCAATGAAATCGCGCCACGTGTGCAAGTGACATGTTCTGGCCAATCAAATGCGGTCATGTCACAATTTAATTTTATTGGTCGGAAAGAGTTTGTTCTTATCACAACTACTCTCTTCCACAACTATAAATAAGTGTCTTCATAACTCAGAAAAGACACCAGAAGTTATAATAAGAAGCAAGAAAGAGCTCGTGGATCAAACGCTGCAAATTCCTCCACAAGTTTCAGGCTTCAAGTTCAAGTTCAAGAAATCAAGTGCAAGTTCAAGAACGAAGAACAAATTAAGGTCAAGTTCAAGCAATCAAGCTCAAGCTCAAGAACAAGATCATCGTTCAAGACAACAAATACATATTCAAGATCAAGCTCAAAGGCCCTTGAATTTATTTACCATTGAAAAGCAGAATCAGAGGATTCATAGAGATTGTACACTCAAATATTCGAAATAAAATACTACGATTGTTGCGATATTTTCGGTCTTGATTTTATTTTCTCGACGCAAAATTATTGTCTACAGTAATATTTTAGGTATATATCAGTGTTTATTTTTTCTTTAGTATATAATAACGATAATTATTTTCCTTTCTTTTACCAGTTTTTTTAAAAAGATTTTCTTAAATTGCAATGCTTTCGCTCTCAACTACTGATTAAAGAAAGATGAAGAAACATCGTTTGTGACATCCTATTCAAATGTTTGCGAGAGGAGTTGCATTTTAAATAAAGTAAATGTCAATGTGTCCTCGCTATAATCAATAGTATAATCTGTAGAACTTTGGCCTTATGAGACATTGCAAATAGAGATTAAAAATTATTATTGAAAATTAGGATTTAGGCACACATATGAGTAGAAAACTACATGGATTATGATAATTCAAACTTATCGAAGGAGTAATTTTTTTCTAAGAAAATGAAATAAAAACCCTAAATGTCCATTAAGAAATAGGAAAATTCTCTTCAAAATTTTAAAAAGGGGAAGTAAATGTAATACACAGAGAAGCTTTATTCTAGAGGATAAGTTATGTACTTGGAGCATTATTATAAAATTAGATACTTGACCAAAAGAAGTGAAGTTGTAAAAGTTCGTCTGAATAGGTGTAATTGATAGGCTATTTCACAAACATAAGTATTCTGCTAGAACTTTAGTATCCATATTTAATTTTTTTTTTCATATTTGATATCTTTTACAGCCGCGCAAAGTGCGAACATATATACTAATTTTGGCATAGTTGTAGTTTTCACCTTCTCTTTTTATGCACCTTGCCCATTAGTCCATGGGTGGGCAAGAATGACTATTACCAAAGTCATTTCTCTCAAATATTACTTGCAATACATCAAATCAAATAGTAAGTTTTATTTTAGTGATTAAAAATTAAATAAAAATACAGATCATTTGACCATGTATATATATGAAACTAATCAATTTGTCCGCGCTTCACGCGGTTATAAAAAAAAAATTAAATTTATGATTTTGATCTTATTATAATTTAATTAAAATATAACATATTGTTAAATCTATAAATACATTTTCATAATTTCGGAGTATTAAAATTAATAACAAAAAGTAGTTTTTTCTTCTTCAAGAGATTGATAAAAAAGCTAGTACTGTGTACAACTCAAGTTACCAAAAAAAAAGGTCAAATCAAACCATCACATATATGTTTGTTTTAGGCAAAGAAGTAAAAATAAAAAGAAGTAGCCACGGTGGCACCACAAAAAAAGACTAAATAAATATCTTTAAAAAAAATTTACTCACTCACAATACATTTTTATTACACTTTTCCAAACCGATTCTTAAAAATTTAGTCAAGAAGCCTGATAATCAAGCCTACAATGTTGCAATGGGGTTTACTTTACTAAGCATATATATGGAAGCTACCGTCATGCTTAAACGTTTCATCTACTTTTGCTGGTAGTTAGTCCGTGGATTTTATTGCTGGACATAAAATCACAGGATATAAAATTAAAAATTAAAAAGAAAAAAAGAAGTAGAAAAAAGAGAACACATAATGTAGCTAAGTGAGTCCTTTAAGATCTTTCATATCCAGTACAACAAATAAATAATATTGGCTTTAGGCGAGTTTTGATACCTGCTCAAAGTTCAACTATTTTGATCTTAAAACTTGAGATAATGAAACAGAAAAAGTAATTTCCTATATTCTAAAAGAAGAAACCATACAAAAAGAGCGTTGCTTGACTAAAATATGAAAAAAACTTCACCAAGTTTGAGCGACTCTCTATCGCGAACATAGAAATTCCTCCCTGATGTCCGTATTGTACATAGCAGTAGACATATATCAAATGTCTACATAGATCTCTATAAAAGACTTTTGCGATTCTCCTTATTTATGATGAATCAGAATAGTCTTTCAAATTCTTCAAAATAAAGAGATTGTTATATTTGACCATCATATTATACAATATGGTTTGGGCACATTCAGAGGAGGAGCACTGATGCACCGGTGAGGAGGTGTGAGCGATTGGCTGTAGTGGGCACGCGGAGAGGTAGAGGGAGACCTAAGAAGTATTGGGGAGAGGTGATCAGACAGGACATGACGCGACTTAGGATTACGGAGGACATGGCCCTTGATAGGGAATTATGGAGGTCGAGCATTAAGGTTGTAGGTTAGGGGAGAGGGTGAATATTTCTACAGCACAACTGAGAGAGACTATCTAGTTAGGAGTTAGACTAGGAATGTCAGTGGTCGTCTATTGATGCAGGGCTTTACCTTCTAGTTGTACTATACCAGCCATCTAATTCGTATTTCGTATTTCGTATCCTGTATTTCATATTTCGTATCTCTTATATATTGTTGTTATTTTATTACGCATTTTTATGGTACTAATATATTATCTCCTATTGCTTTTTTTGAGCCGAGGGTCTCCTGGAAACAGCCTCTCTACCCTTCGGGGTAGGGGTAAGGTCTGCGTACATATTACCCTCCCCAGACCCCACTTGTGAGATTATACTGGGTCGTTGTTGTTGTTGTTGTATATTATACAATAGCAAGATAGTCATCTTTCAATGCTTTCACTCCTCCTTCTATTTCCTTTCTTCTAATGATCAAAGTTAAATTCTTTTTGTGCTTAGTGAAGGAGATATTGGAACTCAGGTCTGATCAATTTGGAGATAAGCCAATTTCAATAGAGGTATTATAAGGAGAAGAGAAGAGGAACTGATGCTTGTTCAAAGAGAAATGGTACGATATGCTTTATAAGCAAAGAGAATTAGAAGAAAAAGGCTCACACTCAATCCTCATAACTATTGTATTAATTCAATTTAGGAAGAAGAAGAAAACGGAAGGTTCTAAAAAGGGTCACACATTAATCCTCATAATTGTTGTATTAATCAATTTAGGAAGTTGAAAACGGAAACCATACAAGGAAACAAAGAGATTTTAGGAGAGTAAAGGAGTAATAATAAATAGAATTAATAACGAAATAAATAAATCTGGTAACTTTAAATTTCTTCAATTTTTTAGATGGAAAATAAGGATAAAAGAGCAAAAAACTGAGAAAAGAGAAAAAATAAGTTTCCTTACATATAAGAGGTGCCACATCACATTTTTATTTCCCAACTTTATATATATATATATATATATATANTTATCCTTCTTTAATTGACATATACTAGTATCAGCATAAATAAAATACTAACGAATCATATCATATCATATCATATCATATCATATCATATCATCATCATATCATATCATATACTATACTAAAAGTTGGAAGCTCCTTCCTTCAAAGTTGGATTACGATTTTGCCCCTATTGCAAATTAATTTTAAGTAAAATTATTAAATGTATAATATAATAAATATGAAATAGTAATATTATAATTACATGAAGGCTAATCACATTCGGGAGCATTTAAGTTATTTACTGCATTGAATGTAATCCTAATTAAAAAGGATGAGCGAATAAGAAGCTCGTAAGTCCTATTAAATGCTCCACATTCACTTCTCCTTAAACAGGTGCAATTAATTCCTAATTAAATATTTAATTTAGCCCATTTCACCTCCTAGGTCTAACGTAAATTGATACCTTTTTTCTTTTGGATTTGACGGCTAGACTCTTTCATTCAGTTAATTTAGAAGGAACATATTTTGTCAATTAACTAATTTGAAAGTTAGAAGACTTTATCAGTTAATTCATATTATTATACTAAATACTAATACTAAATACTAAATACTAAATACTAAATACTAAATACTAAATACTAAATACTAAAATACTAAAAGTAGGAAGATGCGTTATTAATTCAATTCAAAAGTACAATTAGGTTTGAGACCATTCTTATTCTCCTCTAGCACATTACTCTTGTCTTGCAACTATATATTGCATTTGGTGCTTCAACTTCTAAAAAATATATATTGGATAGGAAAAAAACATTTCTATATTATAACTATATATTGTGTTCGCATCTATTCTCCTAGCTACTACAAGATAAATTACAATGGCAAACGAAGAAGAGCTAGGAAAGTTGTACATACCTAATAGCAAGTTGAAGAAATATGCAAATAAAGTTTTAGTCATTCGACGAGGCTTAATAAAAGAATACAAAAATGAGTAACGACGAAGGTGTACATTGGCAAGGGGGTAAAGGTGCATCTAGGCTGAGAGGGGGGGTCTTGGAACATAGGGACCTTGATGGGGAAGTCTATTGAGTTAGCAAAGGTTCCTCATAAGAGGAAGATCGATATAGCTAGTCTCCAGGAGACACGATGGGTGGGAGATAAGGCACAAGATGTAGACGGATTTAAGTTATGGTACTCTGGTCACGTGAGGTGCAAGAACGGGGTAGGCATTTTGGTTGATAGTGATCTCCGGAAGCTAGTGGTGGAGGTTAAGAGAGTGAGTGACAGGCTGATAGGAATTAAGCTAGTCGTTAGGGTTTTTACTTTAAACGTGATTAGTGCGTATACACCCCAAATGGGCTTGGATGAGGACGTCAAGAGGCGCTTATAAGAGGAATTGGATGGGGTTGTGCGTGGTATCCCGCACACTGAGAAGCTTTTCATAGGAGGAGATTTCAATAGACACATTGGGGTGACATCTGGGGATTATGATGATGTGCACAGAGGCTTTGGTTTTAGAGTTAGGAACGGAGGAGGAATTTCACTGCTAGATTTTGCTAAGGTGTTTGATTTGGTAATTGCTAACTCGAGTTTCCTGAAGAAGGAGGAGCACTTGGTTGCTTTTAAGAGTTTGGGAGCCAGGACCCATATTGATTATACTATTCAAAAAGTCGGATAGAGGTCTGTGCGCGGATTGCAAGGTCATCTCGAGTGAGAACCTCATGATCCGACATAGGCTCCTGGTCATGGATTTGGAGATCATGAGGAAGCGGATAAAGAGGGTTGTATATGGTCTTTCTAGGATCAAGTTGGGATTTTTGACTAAGGTCAGTGCCCATGATTTAGGGGATAAACTGCTGGCTGTGGGGGCATGGAGGAGAAGTGGGGACGCAAGTAGTGTGTGGACCGCGACTTCGAATTACATTAGGGAGGATGATAGAGAGGTATTGAGGGTCTCGAAGAGCCCTTATGGTGGTCGCAAATGGGACCGATCGTGGAGCGTCGAGGTCCAAGGTAAAGTGGAAGCCAAGAAAGTGGATTATTTGAAGCTTGTGGAAAGCATGGACGAGGAGGAGAAGAGGACGAACAAGGATAGGTATAAAGTGGCTAAGAAGGAAGCGAAGTTAGCAGTTACTATGGCAAAGACTGCCGCATTTGAGCACTTGTATGAAGAACTTGGAGGTAAGAAAGGGGACAAGAAGCTGTACAGGTTAGCCAAGGTGCGAGAGAGGAAGGTATGTGACCTGGACTAAGTGAAGTGCATAAAGGATGAGGAAGGTAGAGTATCGTTCGACGAGGCTCTAATCCGACAGAGGTGGCAGACATACTTCTATAAACTCCTGAACAATGAGGGGGATAGGAACATTGTGCTGGGTGACTTAGAATCCGAGAGCCATCGAAACTTTGGGTATTGCATGTGTATTAAAGTTGTAGAGGTATAGGGGGCTATGTGTGAGATGAGTAGGGGAGAGAGACCGGGCCAGACAAAATCTCGGTGAAATTCTGGAAGAGCGTGGGTAGGGCGGGCTTGGAATGGCTAATTAGGCTATTCAATGTCATTTTTTGGACGAAGAAATTTCCGAGGAATGGAGATGGAGTACGATGATCCTATTGTATAAGAAAAAAGGGGATATCCAAAATTACAACAACTATCGGGGTATCAAGTTATTGAGCCATACTATGAAAGTATGGGAAAGGGTTGTAGAGCTGAGGGTGAGGAGAATTATGTCTATTTCAGAAAATCAATTAGGATTTATGCCGGGGCATTCAACTACAGAAGCTATTCACCTTGTTAGAAGGTTGATGGAGCAGTATGAAGAAAGGAAGAGGAATTTACATATGGTGTTCATCGACTTAGAGAAAACTTATAATAAAGTGCCGAGGGAGGTGCTGTGGAGATGTTTGGAGGCTAGAGGCATTCCTGTTGCATACATTGGGGGTATTAAGGATATGTACGAGGGTTCTAAGACTCGGGTGAGGACCGCGGGAGGGGAATAAGAACACTTCCCGATTGTGATGGGATTGCATCAAGGGTCAGCCCTCAGCCCATTCTTGTTTGTCCTGGCGATCGATGTGCTGACGCGTCAAATTCAAGGGGAGGTGCCGTGGTGCATGTTGATTGCAGATAATATTGTAGTGATTGACGATATATGTTATGGTTTTAACAAGAGGTTAGAGGTTTGGAGACAGACTTTGGAGTCTAAAGGTTTCAAATTGAGCAGGACCAAAATAGAATAGTTAGACTGCAAGTTCAGTAGCGTGACTCAAGAAGAGGATGGAGACGAGAGGCTTGATTTACAAGTCATCCCTAGGAGAGAAATTTTCAAGTATCTTGAGTCTATTATACAAGGGAATGAGGAGATTGACGAGGATGTCATGCAGTGTATTGGGGCTGGATGGATGAAATGGAGGCTCACTTGTGTTGTTTTGTGTGATAAGAATGTGCCATCAAAACTTAAAAGTATGTTCTATAGAGTGGTGGTCATATTGACTACGCTCTATGGGACGGAGTGTTGGTTGGTCAAGACATATCATGTCTAGAAGATGAAGTTGGTGGAGATGAGGATGTTGAGGTGGATGTGTGGGCATACCATGTTATATAAATTAGAAATAAAGTTATCCGGGACAAGGTAGGTGTGACCCCCGTGGAGAACAAGATACGAGAGGCGAGACTAGATGATTCGGGCATGTGAAGAGGAGAGACATTGATGCTCCGGTGAGGAGGTGTGAAAGGCTGGCATGGGAGGACCAACGGAGAGGTAGAGGCGGGCCGAAGAAGTGTTGGAAAAAGGTTATTAGGCAAGATATGACATTGCTCCAGCTCACTGAGGACATGACCATGGATAGAAAGGTGTGGAGGTTGAGAATAAAGGTAAAGGGTTAGGTGATCGAGTGTTGTCCTTGTTTGTAGTAGTAGCTTTGATACCACTTGGTGCCTTCCGTGTTTTTTTCGTACCCCTAGTCTTCTGTTACTACTTGCTGTTGTTTTGTGTTTCAATTTTCTGATTGCATTACCTTTTGCTAGTTTTGTATTTTTGCTTTGGTTGTCAGATCGGTTTGCTTATTATTGCCCCTAATCTCTCGCCAAGAGTCTACCGGAAATAGCCTCTCTGTATGTTAAAGGTAGAGGTAAGGTCTGCATACACTCTACCCTCCCTAAACCCCACTTATGAGACTATGCTGGGTATGTTGTTGTTGTTATTGAAGGTGTACGTTGGCAGCTAATATTCGTTGACGAAGAGGTAAATTTATTTTAATAATTTTTTATACTCACCGCTCAATACACTGCCACTTTGGTGACTCTATTGCTAGTCCGTCTTGACACAGAGAATAAAAATACAAACTACTCTTTTCAACAATGACGTTCAAGTATGGAAGAATTTTTTGACTAAAATAAAAGCTCCTACATTATAAACGAAAAGATAAGAGGCACAAAACCAAACTTTTTATCTATGAACAAGGACCTCGAAGTAGTGTTTAATAGCAACATAGAAGTAATACAATGCTACACTGAATTTATGTCTCAATAAATCTTCAATGGTTTTATTTCTTTAGACGAGTCAGAATAGTTAACTAATGAGACTTTATTTGGTAAATACCTACATATATTTATTGAGTATTTTGTAGCTGCAATTATTCGATATTTAATATTTAATATTTTTTAGATGTGGTTTGTTTTATAATACAAGAGAAAGCACTAAATGGAGAAGGATGAAGCAGAAGGCGAGAAGTAATAGTTACGAACGAAAATCAAGTTACCACCAGTTACTTGCCACTCATGATTTAAACTTTACTACCTGCAATATAAGTAAAATGTAATTTTTATGATACTCAATTTTAAATATATATAAGTATGATCGAAAGATATTGACTTTGTGGGGAGACTTAGCTGAAATTGAGGGGAACTTTTAGAGAGCATTGAAAATTTCAAGCCAATAGTAGCCTTTTGTGATGTTAAAAGCTCTACTTACCAAGGTATAACACCTCATACCTTATGTATTTTCATAATATTTTATATAGCCTTAAGGTAACACTAAATTCGTTGATCTTTTTTATTAAATAGGGGATTTTTTCCTCTCGACGACACCTATTGGTAGCATGCTAATCTACCCAACATTTGAGAAGGCGAAAGATCTCAACTAATAATAAATTGTGGATTTCTCTTTCAACTTATTTCCTCTCTATATGTTAGGTATATAAAACATTCTGAAGGAAGTTTTACAATACAGGAATGGCAATATGAAGGCAAACAAGATAGACATAAGTCTAATGCCAAATAGACTAATGCAAATAGCTAGAGAAGTCAAAATCATTGATGTTATAGACGACTCAATTGTCAACTTGAAGGTATATTTATCTTCCAAAATCTAACACAATGTGTCCTACATTCATATGTTTACAACCTAACAAAATATTCCTGCTAATTTACGTATATGACATATACTGTAAGTTTAAAGCCAAAATTACCGACCCTAAAATTGGTGTTTTTTTACAGGCATTGATGGCTGCTTCATTCCCTTTATTTTCCCTAATAAAGTCATTGAAATCATTACATCACTTCTTATTTGCAGTTATTTTACTGGTTATATTTTGTTTCTTTCATCTTCCATGGTCACTCCTTCTACATGCCTTTTCATATTCTTTACAACACTCTATATAAGTGCACAATAAGGTGTCTTTGTCCCATCATCCTTGTATTCTTTCTAGCAGAATTTTCTTTACAGGTTTTTTGGTTGCCGCATCACAAAATTGGTAATAATTTGACACTCTTGTCATTACCTTTAAACTTTATGAAGATATTCATATATGTTACCAGCTAATATTACTTGATTTTCCCATTAAACCACAAGAATCAGTAGCTTCATTGAAATATATTAGATTTTAGAACATTAATCATGCCTTGCAACTATATATTGCATTTGGTGCTTCAACTTCTAAAGGATATATATTAGATAGGAAAAAACGTTTCTACATTACAACTATATATTATGTTTGCATCTATTCTCCTAGATACTACATGATAACTTACAATGGAAAATAAAGAAGAGCTAGGAAAGTTGTACACACCTATTAGCAAGTTGAAGAAATATGTTATAGAATGGGTAATTAAAGTTTTAGTCATTCGAAGAGGCTTAATAAAGGAATACAAAAATGAGAACGACAAAGGTGTACATTGGCAGCTAATATTTGTTGATGAAGAGGTAAATTTATTTTAATAGTTTCTTATATTCACCACTCAATACACTGCCTCCTTTGGTGACTCTATTTCTTGTCCGTCTTGACATATGAAATAAAAATACAAACTACTCTTTTCAACAACGACGTTCAAGTATGAAAGATTTTTTTTCCAGACCAAAATAAAAGCTACTACATTATAAATGGAAAGATAAGTGACACAAAACCAATTTTTTTATCTGTGCACAAGGACCTCTAAGTAGTGTTTAATAGCAACACAAAGTAATACATTGCAACACTGAATTTATGTCTCAACAATTCTCCAATGATTTTATTTCTTTGGACGAGTCAGACCAGTTCACTAATGAAACTTTATTTGGTAAATACCTATATATATTTATTGAGTATTTTGCAGCTGCAATTATCCAATATTTAATATTTCATATTTTTTTAGATGTGGTTTGTATTGTAATGAAAGTGAAAGCACTAAATGGAGAATGACGA